TTATTACTGACATGTTGATTCAAACGGGACTCCTATTACTGAGGAGCTCTGAGTTCAGAAAACTATTGGAGGTAATTCACTCCAGATTTATTATTTAGCAGATTTGTAAAAACTACAGACGTTGCAGATTCGTACTGAATTAAAATCACAGATCTCATCAATAATCAGTCAGATTACAGCACCGCGCCACATAAAACTAATCCAGCTCAAATAGGGCTTAAGTCAAATTTTGCTTTGTAACTGGAAGCAGTGGTGAGGTTATTCTCTGTAAAATGCAATAAAAACAAGAATCTGTGATTTGTTAATTCTCTTAAACCTTTATTTAACTGGCAAAAGTACAAAGAAAAGATTTCCAATGTTTTCACTGAACATGGCATGTTTACTGCTGTGTTACATCACCTTTCCATCCGTGAACGTCACTGTCTGATTCTGTTCTTCATGATGTGCCATACATTTTCAATAGGAGACAGATCTGGACTGCAGGCAGGCCAGTCAAGCACATGCTGTTGTAGAACATGCAGAATGAGGCCTGGCATTGTCTTGCTACCTGCTCTCTGTGAACGGTTATGCTTATGGTGAAAACCAATCATCATGGCAGTTACTGATCAGCTGTAAGAGTCTGATCACAGTGGAATCAATCAGTTCAGCTCGCTGTGATAAACTACTCTGCTGAGCAGACAGGTGGGAGTGTTGCTTAAAATCTTAATGCTGGTCTTGGTCAGTTTGATAAATGAGGCAGCAAGCAGTGGGTTAATATGTTAAAACACATCAGTATGGTACAGCACTTTTGTTGATGTGCTGTCTGTGGATCACATGAATATTTTAACCAATATAACAGAGACTGAAAATAGTGAAACAGTGAAAATAACACAAGTTAGTTAAGTTCCCTTATTAGTCCCATAACAGGGAAATTTCACCTCCGCATTTAAGTGGGCAGCCCTATCCACGACACCCAGGGAGCAGTTGGGGCTTAGGTGCCTTGCTCAAGGCCACTTCAGTCACGTACTGTTGGCTCAAGGGATCGAACTGGCGACCTTCTGGTCACAAGGCCCATGACTGCCCCAGAGAAAGCACATAGTATTTTACAGAACCCTCTTAAAAACAGGTGCAAAATCACCCTCTGCTTTTCCAGAAGAAAAAAAAGTTCAAAATGCATTTAAAAATGTAGTTATGTGGACAAAAAAAAGTTGTTTTGTTCATCTACACAGAATTCTGTGAGCAACTAGGCTATGGTATTATATGTGTTAACTATTCAAATTACTCAGCCTGAATCATTTGTTAGGTTATTCCTTTGTACAGCTTAATTAGAGATTATTCTGGGGTGAATCCAGCATGAAACACATTCAAGCCAAACATAATTCAGCTTGTCCCCCAGCCAAACACTGTTCACTCTTATTGTTACTTTACTCTTTACTGTCTGTCTGCTTTATCAGACTCATGAGTAACCTATACTGAGAGCAGCCTAATGTCTATGACCTTAAATATTAACATCAGTCCACTGAAAAAATGATGCATTTAATTTACTTGATTCACATGTTCATGTAATTTCCTCATGAACAAATAAAATACATCAAATTTCATTTTACTTTCAGCAGTAATTGTGTGAAGTAAATTCAACACATGCTAATCTACTGTGGGGTGTTCAATAACGTCTGCATATTTATTCTGAGTATTAGTTCTGCAGCATTTATTCTCTCGGTTTATTCTGACAAAACTCTTAATGTGAAGGTGGGGCTGGTCGCCTTCAGGGGGGATGTGTGTCAGAGCAGATTGTCACTGGATGTTGGAAGCTGGAAGTGAGAGAGTGCAGACCCAAGTGTAGAGCTTAGGTTCAGAGCGAGCTGTTAGCTAAAAGCTTGCTTATTGTATGGCATGACTGTGGCTGACTACAGCTGTTTAATAAAGCACATCAACTTGTGCATAAGCTTTGTGTCTGCTTTAATAGAGATAAATGCTACAATATGCAAAGAAAAACATTATTAACTACATTTTTTTCTTTGGCACAAGTGCGAAAGTCTAAAAATAACATGTAACGAGAGAGGCGTGAATAGTATTGAAAGTTTGGGGTGGCACACGTGTGTCGTTAGACTGTGAATGTAGCCAAGCTGGCCTCTTTGTGTTTACACATGCACACAGATGTGATCACAATGTGTACTTGACCACCTCGGGCTCAGGACAACTACATCAAAAAACACATCCCAGGCACAAAAATGGTTACACTTGTCTTTTACAGAGAACCATCTACAGAGAACATGCAGATAGAGGGCGCATTATAATGCCAAGTGTAAACAGGGCATAAGAGACGAGGGTCACTGTCTTTTACTAAGTCTCTAACTGACATCCTCTGTACCTGACAACCATTGCTGAAACACATCTGCACAATCACACAGAACAAACAGTAGGTGGCATTACACGCCTAATTAAATGAAGCAATGGAATTGCCCCAGAGTGTAGGAGTAACATATACATAATTAAGGAAAACAGAAAATGCATTCATTGAAACAGTCATCGGTCTTAAAGAACAAACAAAGGCTCTGATAACAGGGGCAGTGATACAGTGGTGAGTATTTCGGGCTGTGGGTGTGTGTTTATTTGCTAACTTTTACATACTGGGAGAATAATAAAACATAAAATGAGGCCTGTGCAAAAGTTATGTCACATTGTTTTTTTTATGTTTTTTGTCCTTTATTTATGCCATATGTTAAAATCAGCAAATAAATATTAATTGTGCACTAAAATGTGCAGAAAGATGCATACTTAAGTGTGTTCTCTGTAGATGATCAAAACAGATAAATTAACTGAGGTTGTTCAAACTTCTGCATATGTTACACTTGCATTTTATGAAAAATGGAGGATTTTACTTTGACAATTACAAAACTACGATGCTTTAAGTGAACAGAATAGAGAATAGACTAAAATGTGAAACAAGTTAGTTAGTTCTTTCATATTTGGTTATCACATTTAACACAGCAGTTAGTTTTGTTGTGTGTGTATCAGGTTCAGTGTCTCCCTCTGCTGGTGTATCTGTGTGTTTGCTGAAGACTGTGCTGTATCATTCTGACCCTCATGCTGTCTGCAGTCATCACCGTCCACATCAGAGAAAGACTGACCAAATCATCTTAAAGACATGGATGGTGTTACACAGTTTATTATAGCTGTTATAGCTACATAATACTCTATTATGTAATCTCTGATTACAATCCACTCTACTGTATAGTTGAACCAAACAGGCTCTCATCATTTACTGTTATTTTTTTTCTTTTCTGTTATTTTTAGCTTCTCAGAAGTCAGTAGACTGAATGTACTAGAACATTGTACCTATAGGTTTTATTAGATGTATTTAAATGCATTTTTAACTACTGTTTATTCTTATGCTTAGAAATATATTTGAAGATACATCTGCTCTTCACAGGAAGCTTGTTTAATCAGTGATGCCCCAAAGACAGTGCTTTTTGAGTCAGTTTTTGAGTGGGCATTTAAGTGAGTGTAACTGTAAGAGCAACATATTATTGAAATTCCAAGAGAAGTGCTAGCAGAAATTATTACAGTAATGGTGGAACTCAGGCTACTTATGAAGTGAAGATTTCTGCAGTAGCTGGGTCAAAACTTTATTTTTAAAGCTTTTTTTGCATTTTTCAACAAAGTATTTTAGATTTATGGAACGCATGATGTATTATTGTCCAGTTAAGCCATTTTAATTGTTGGCCTTTAAAAAACACAGAATGCTGCACAATCGTTTTTGCCAAAGTCCGAGTGCTGAAGAGAAACTAGACTAACCATAGAGAAAAAGAAAACAGGAACTGACAGGTGTAAAAATGCAGGGCTAGGCTGGTTGGTAGGTAGTGATGGGCAAATGATACCGAGCCAGGAAGTCGTTTATGAAGCGCATATCGAGGCTTGCTTCCTTAAGGGCGAGTGACATCACTGATGACATCTGAAGCCTCACTGGTTCAGGATGTGGTTCGAGTATTGGCGTGATTTATGAACATATATAAGGCGCAATGGATCCCAGCAAAATTTGCATGTTGACATTAACAGACCTCTATTACCATTACCCACACATTAATCAAAAAACAGATTAGATGAATAAATGAATGAACCACAGAAAATCAAATGTTGCAACAATGTTGCAAGACAGCCAAGAGGCCATCACAAATAGTTGAAATGACAAAGGTTTTGACCAGCAGGGGGGTTTGTGTGCACATGAAGCTTCAAGAAATGAACCTTTTTTCGGACCAGCTGGATGGAAAGCTTCAAGGCTTCATGAGGCTTCATCTGGCCATCACTATTGGTAGGATCCATGAGCAGGCTTCATTGTGACAGACAAATGTACAAAAACACAGCCCAAGAACAGATTCGGGTCAGAGGCTAAAAAGACAACAAATGGCTACCCAAGATCAAAAAAACACAAAGTCAACACGCTATAGAGAAAAGGCTCAGGATTGTAGTGACATACCAACAATGCTTCATGACGTGTGGAACAAGAGTCTGAGTATTTATAGGGGAGTTGATGAACGGAGATTGACAACTGGTGTGGATGAATGACAGTCAGACTTCAGGAGAGGATGACCTCTGGTGGCCAGTTTGGGAGTTGCACAACACAGGCCTTTAAAAATATTTTTTAATGTCAGCCGCATCATTACAATATAATATAAAGACACAATGATGCTTTACGGTTCAGTTAATTAACTGAATGATAATTAAAGGTAATTAATGCTATATAAATAAAGTCTGCAACAACTGTTATTAACAGTCCTTATGTGATCAGTGTTGAGCATGAAAAGTAAATGAATAAATAAACGAAACTGAGGACCCCCTTTGTATTTTCATCTTAATAGTAAAGTAAACTGTAATTGCTTTTTAGTGTGGAATATTCTTTCATGTTGTCCTTATTACTTCTGCATGAACACCAGCACATTAGCAAAGCTCTCTAAGGCAGTGAGGTAGTCTTTGTAACTTCCTCCTTCACTGTTAAAGAGGAAGTTCTAAAAGTCCCTGTAATGGCGATGATACTACAGCTAATCGTGTCTCTCTGCACTCTGATCTCAATCACAGGTAAACAGTTCTCTGAACTTCATCACTAAAGAGGTTAAAATGTATGACAATGTATAATTTTTGAGACAGTCTAAAAATCGTAATAAGTGATCATCTGAATAGAATTCATGCTAAGTGTTAAGATCATTTTGAAGTGTGCAGCACAGATATTTAAGACATCTTTAGACATCTGTTAATGTCACAGGTGAGCTGAAAAGCAGGTTTTTCCTCCATACTGTTAACACACATAATTACACAGAGAGCTGATGTGACTAACCTCTATACACTCAATTTGTATGTTAGAAAAAATACAATTGTATGATTAGAATTAACTGAGAAAACCTACAATCCATCTCTAAAGCACATTCATTTGCAAAATGTATCATACTAAGCTAGATTATGAAATGTAATGTACGTATAATATGATGGTTTTGTTTACTGGGTTTAGTCCTCCTGTTCTGTTCACTCAGCCTGCTGACTTTATATCTGCACAAACAGCTCCAGCTTAAACAGAGATTTACTGTTTACTAGTTTAAGACTTTAAACTAGCATTACATGTAGCCGTGTGTGTGTGTGTGTGTGTGTTTGTGGACAAAAGTTTTAGCACACCCAGTGTCAATGGTTTGTTGATTCCAGTAAACCTAAATGAACGATATATATTTCTGCATATTTTAATGTACAGTTTCTGTGTATTTGATGAATTTCACACATTGAAATAAAACCTAAAACAAAAATGTGCCATGACTTTTGCACAGGCCACACTTTTTGTTTTCTTTTTTCAAATATTTTTTTTTCAGCAAATAAACAGTAATTGTGTATTAAAATGTGCAGAATTGTGTCTCTGTAGAGAATGTGTGTTCATTTATGTTCACTTAGAAAATCAACAAAACATGTCATTTGACCCGGAGCGTCCAAACTTCTGCATAGGGCTGTATGTTAAATAACAAAAACAAAAGTGTCTGAATACATGCTTGTCCTTACTGTATATATGAACATACAGAAAAGAAGTCATAAACATGTTTCACAGTACCAAGTCATGAAAAAACTATCACAATATAAAAAACGATTTCTTATATTTTCTCAATTCTCCCTCTCTCTTATTTTTCCTCTCTCTACAGAGTCGAGTGATGTGTTCAGATCGGTTGGCAGTTCTGTTCAACTGGACATACAGCATCCTGTACCGAAGTTTGATGAACTAATCTGGGTTTTTAACAGAGTTAATAATGTTCTAAAATATTATTCTGAATTTAAAAAAACTAAACAGACTCCTGGTTATGAAGGCAGAGTGGAGTTCAATGAGGAAACCTACAGTCTGACACTGAAGAACTTACAGAAGACTGATAGTGGACTGTATGAAGCAAAAGCATCTGGTGATGAGGTCACAGTTGTTGCTGAGTACAGACTCTCTGTGTTGGGTAAGTCTTATAGAAAATCAGTCAGTGAGAGGAAACATGCAGTCCTGACACAACACTGCTGTTATTATGATGCTGTAATTGTATCTATTCTTAATGTACACTATTGAGTATTTCTGAAGGCTAAAAAATGCAAGATGCACTGTGCTGTCATGAACACTTCAAGATGTTTTTTAAACAAAATAAAATAAATCAAGTTAAATAAAATGAGTTGAAAATGTGACAGCAGATTGAATTTTGCCAATCTAACTAAATTATTGTGGATAAACAAAATTGGCTTTTAATTGTGCGGAAATCTTTTCATAGTTCTATTGAATTCAGGTAAAGACTGATTTATGAGTGTACACTAAGAGAAAAATATAGATATGGAAAATGTTCAGTTGTTGAGATGTAAATTCTATTCTCTAACCACCTCCACTCTGCCTGCAACTGTTTTGCCTGATTTTTTTTACCATTTTTATCTTATTTTCATTATTTTATTATTTATTTATCTTATCCATTATTATTCACATTCTTATTCCTATTTTAATTATTATTTTATTATTATTTGTCATTTTAATACATTTGTTTATTAGTATTTTTTCTTGTCTTCCTCTTGTTTTATTTTGATTTGATTTTATTAACCTTTACATTTTATGTATGTTTTAATTACTATTTTATTCTTTTTATTATATTTTTATGTATTTTTATTATTAATGTTTCACTTTTTATACTTACCTGATCTGAATCATTTATATCATCTGAATCTCATTTAATAAATTTACTTTTATTATTTGATATGTTCTTACACATTATCAATCCCTTGCTCTGTATTAACTCGGCAACATTGTAAATGAGGGGCACCCTCCGAGATTAAATAAAAGTTGATTGATTGATTGATTGAAATCTCTTTAGAGTGGTTTGATGTGAAATGGTTAATTGTAGATAAAAGTTTCTTTACAGTGGTGGTGATAGGAACCAGGGGTCACAATACCAACAATGCCAATATAGCCATTTTATCTGATTTTTACAACACACAGTGAACCTACAAAGCTTTTTTAAGCATAACTGAAAATTAGGTCAGTATAGTATCTTCATCCTGCAAGAGTTGTAATTGGCTTTTGATTTTAACTACAATATTCTAAACATAGTTTAGTTTTGATGCTCAACTCACCAGCTCAAATTTGAACACTGGATATTCTAAGCACACTTACTAATGTTTTTCTCTACTCATTATTTTCTGAGATCTAATAACAATACTAATGTCCAGATGGATCTCAGCTACTCTGAAAGATACTGACCAGTTTGAAAGACTTTTAGTTATCTGTGATCTGTGATGAGTGATTTATCATTGACTGACTGTCAGCATTACAGTGATGTGTCTGTATATCTTCTACCTCAGATCCAGTGGAGGCTCCAGTCCTGAATCTCCAGCTAAGCAATGACACCTGTAACATCACTCTCACCTGTAGAGGTCATGACCTCTCTATCAACTCCAGCTGTTACAAGGAAACCTGTGAGGAGAAGGAAGTGACATCACCTGGAGGCGTCACCCTTTCCCTGTCTGTCAGTGGCAGCACCATCATCTGTAATCATAGCAACCCAGTCAGCTGGAAGACGGATGTTTTGGAGATGAAAGAACTGGAACGACTCTGTGCTGATGAAGGTGAAGGTGTGAACACAGATACACACAGACACAAACACTGCATCTAAAATCAATCAAAAGATCCAAAGTTTTTTTTCTATGAAACTATTCCAAACCATAATCTGTAAGTATTACTGTAAGTGTCTGTTTGATTATAACACAGCAAGTCATATAACACAGTATATAACACAGTGTTGCATCCAACGTTATCTATTGAAAAGTCAATTTTCAATAAAGAACGTCAGAAAGTAAGACGTAGCGAGGCTGGAGTGAACTGTTGGAAAGAAATCTGTTAATGTGTATGGTGTAGCTGTAGCCAACCACAGCTCATTAATAAAGCACAATGACGTGCAAAACCTCTATCTTCTTTCATAGTGGTGAATGCTACAATATAAATAATGAAAGAAATAAGAAATGAATTGAAACAGACATAGCTTTTAAGGAAACAACAAAAGCTCTAATAACAGGTGCAGTAACACAGTGAGTGTTCGTGTATTTTTTCAAGTTGTCTGTTGGCAATTCTCACTTTCCAGTATGAGGAGTGTTATTTAACACCATATAACTATTTCTGGCAAGGATAACGTCATTAAGCACCAGTACACCACTACATCAACCAGAATGTAAGATATACTAATATTTTAACATGCTGATTGATATTTTTAAGATTATCAGTTCAAGATTGCCAGCGTTATGTTAGCTAACTTGGAAGTTATAATGCTAGTATGTATTAACATGCATAAAAAGAACATGTACCCTAGCGGCTAGAAGAGATTTTTGTTGCTCATGTTTCACACCAGACATGTCAAACTGGGGACCTTCCAGGCCAAAGTGCTGTGGAGATTAGCGTTTACCCTCATCTAACACTCTGAATTCAGTTCATGAAGTCCTTGCTAATTAGCTGATGAGCTGAATCGGGTGTGTTTAATGGGGCAGTGTGCTGAAGTCTGCAGTGCTTTGGCCCGTGAGGACGGGTGCCTGACACATGTGTTTTACACTGTCAAGAGAAAATGTAAAGTTTACTTGACTTTAGATATGACCCTGTAACTGTAGATGTTTGTGTGAGTGTGTGTGGTAAGTAGAAATCAGCTTAGAGTCTGATAGTCTGATTATGCTACATAGATTCAGTTACTATGCTAATTTAGAGCTAGCTAGAGAACTTAGTTAGCTAAATCTGTTTCATTCAGTGTGTTTACATGCACTTAATAATCCAATCATAATTGGATTTCTGCAGTTATCTGATTATTCAAATGGTCATGTAAACACCACGCTTATATCTAGAAATCCGATTAAGAAATCAGATAAAGAGAACTGGATTTTAGCTCAGTAATCAGATTTCTCAGTGCATGTAAACTCTTATTCTAATTTCTTTCGGATTTCTCAGTCTGCGCATGTGCAGAACAGACTGCTGTACCAGAAATAAGTAAGCAGCTTTGCTGCAAGATGACGTTGAATCCAACTACGTTCTTGACGAAATGAAGGATTTAAATAATCTTCATCTTCTCAATAACGTGAGTTCATTTTTTCAGGTACAGTAGCTCAAAAAAAAGCCACTGCATGAAGTTTGAGTTTTACATTACGTTTTCATCACACCTTCTTCTGTGAGTTATTATCTGATTACTCAAGTGCATGTAAACACGCTGATCGGATTACTGACAAAGTCTGATTTTCTGCAGTTATTGGGTTATTAAGTGCATGAAAACGCACTCATTGATTCACTCATGAGACAGTAGTACACACAGTAGGTCAGAATTATGAAATGAATCAAATTATCAAGCAAATCCAACACAAAGGCAGGTTTATTTGCTCTTCTTTGTCATCACAGGAGGCAGACTGCATCACACATTCAGCTGTTTTTTAGGGAAGATTGATAAAATTTTGTGAAAAACATACATTTATTAAACTTTCATTAAATGCTCTCACAGCCATTTACACTGGAAGTTAATTTTTCATTCAAATAAAACTGGCGCATGTGCTCCAGTTAATGTGCCTCTGTATTTACTGCCATATGCAATAAGTTTGGCGCCCCTGTTCACGTGACATTTTGTTCACAAGTGAAAATAAAGGAACACTTCCTCTACAGAGAACAAACTTCTGCACTTTTTAATGCACAATTGCTGTTTATTTGCTGAATTTAACATATTGGAAAAAAGTAAAATGTAGCCTTTGCAAAAGTCATGGCACATTTTATATTTTATTGTTGTTGTCCAAAAAAAAGAAAACTTAATTTTTTTAATTTTATTTTTCTACATTATTTGAACACAGCAGCTTTCCTTTACATCATGTGAACATTTGTGTTTACCTTCTCCTTTAAAGTTGCCACTTTGAAGATGCTTGTTTTTTTTTCGGACAGCAATGTCAATGTTAAACTCAGCAAATAAATAGAACGTGTTAGTAAAAATTGTAGGAAAATGTCATATTTAAGGCTGTTCTCTGTTGAGAATATGTCAGCTTATATTCACTTAGAAAATCAACAAAACATGGAATTTGACCAGGGGTGTTCAAACTTCTGCGCACAACTGTATGTCACATTTGAAGTTTTTGAAATATGCTTTTACTTTGAAAATGACTGAAATGTGATGTTTTAACTGAACATAATAGAGAATAAACTGAAGTGTGAAACAAGTTAGTAAGCTCATTTACATCACAATTAACACAACAGTGGGTTTTGTTGTGTGTGTTTCAGGTTCAGTGTCTCCCTCTGCTGGTGTATCTGTGTGTTTGCTGAAGACTGTGCTGTATTCCATCATTCTGACTCTCATGCTGTCTGCAGTCATCACCGTCCACATCAGAGAAAAACTGACCAAATCATCTTAAAGACATGGATGGTGTTACACAGTTTATTATAGCTGTTACAATTACATAATACTCTCTATTATAATCTACTCTACCGTATAGCTGTACCTAACAGTCTCTCATCACTTGCAAAGACTTTTAGCATCACTGTTGTAGCTTCTCAGAAGTCAGATGATTGAATGTACTATAATATTGTTTTATAAGATGTATTTAAATGCATTTGTAAATACTGTTTATGCTTATGTTTACAAATATCGCTAAAGATAAACCTGCTCTTCTCATGAAGCCTCTTTAGTCAGTGATGCCCCAAAGACAGCTCATTTTATGTGGAAGTTAAATTGGGATTTTAAGTGAGGTTAAGTGTAAGAGCAAAATAATACTGAAATTGAAATTTCCAACGAAGTGCTATCATAAATTATTAATGTACTGGTGGATCTCAGGCTACTTCTGAAGTGAAGATTTCTGGAATAGCTGTGTCAAAGCTTCATTAAAAAGGCATTAATATATATATATATATATATATATATCTTACTTTTGAGACACCCTGTGTACAGTGGTGACTGAAAGTCTGTGAACCCTTTAGAATTTTTTATATTTGAGCATAAATTTGACCTAAAACTTCATCGGATTTTCACACAACTCGTTATAGCAGATTATAGATAAAGAGAACCAAATTAAGCAAATGAGAGAAAAATATTACACTTTTTAAAATTGGATCACCATCTGCCAAACAATTTTCATTTTAAATGGGTGTTTCTTTACTTTTGAGAAACCCTATACATGTACGCATTTTCTGGACTTGCCTATATATATATATATATATATATATAGGCAAGTCCAGAAAATGGGGTACATGTTTATTTGAGTTACTATGCCCCAGAGATATTTTCTGGGTTTATTTCTTTTCTAGAAAGACTATAAAGCCCAAGAGTTTGTGTGAAAATGCCATGTTTTCTTCGATAGCAAAAACAATGTCCTGCCTAGTATGAAACGTTAAGAATGGTCACTACCAAGACACGTTTTCTGCAATTAAGTAATTTTTTTTTGTGTTTTAATGAAAAAAATATGAGTCAAGTACTTACAAAATTAGCTAAAATTGTCAGTAATGAAAGAGTCACTACTGCAGGGATGGGGGAGTACCTAAGTAGCACGCTACTTTTTGTAGCTAACTACAATTTTGTGTAGCTATTAGCTGTAGCTGCTACAGTTTTATGAAATGTAGCTAATAGCTGTAGCACCTACAAAGTTTTGTGTAGCTACAGCGAAAATTTCCGCTACAATTTCACCACAGGCTTCAGGCAATCTGCGCAAAATCTGAACCACAGAACGCAGTCGTTAATGGGGCTGGTGGCGACTGTGCAATCCTGACTGAGCTGCGGACAGTTTGAGCAAACAGGCACGCGCTGATCACCTCTGAGGCATAGCTCAGGGGTCGGCAACCGAAATGTTAACAAGAGCCGTTTTGTCCTTTCAACAAAAATGAAACCACCTTGGGTCCATTTTACCATCTTGGCTGTAAATATGTCTCAGTATGTGCTGATGTGCTGATGTGCTACTACAGGCTAAAAATATAATATAAACGACAACATAGACTTACTTTGCTTCTCAATTGCCAGCTTCTGGTTCGAATTATCCCGTACCACCTTAAATGGTGCCTGAGGTGCCAGAATATAACTGCTGCGTCATTTACGGTGGAACGGGAAAACTTGAATGAGAAGCTGCCGAAAGAGAAGCTGCAGCTTTGTGACTGTTTGACAGTTTCTCGTTGCAGATTAAACATATCAGGAAACCAGCTGGAGTGCTTTTAAATGCAGATAAGTCTGTTCATCTCCAAATTATCAATGTTTGTCTTAAATCTCTCTCTTTGCCTTTTCATTAGGTACGAGCTAGTTGGTTATTATCTGTGTTGCTGTGTGTCCAGCAGTCTGTGTGTCTTCAGCGTTAAAGGGTGAATTAGCAGTTCTACATTAACTCCAGCGATTAAGACCATTTATTGTGAAAACTGTGTTAGAACTGTGTGTTAAAACTTTACAGCAAAGGAGGATTATGTTACTTTACCTAATTATCTAGTTCTGCTGTGGAGCCGCAACAGCTCTGCAGCAGTGGAGAGATTATTCAACTGCACAGGCCTGATTCTCACCCCAAACAGAGTCACTGATTAGAATTTGAGGCTGAAGTGTTGCTGAAGATTAAAGGACTCTGAATATCCTGTCTGTAAATATCTTGCTGAAATGTTTATATTGGACCAGTTTTAATTCAACAGTTGACAGTCAGAGAAGCTAATGAAAACCTTGACTAACCACAGAGGGAAACCAATAGGAACTGACAGGTCATTAAAACATAATATGAAGGCACAATGATGCTTTAAAGTTCAAATATTGAACTAAATAGTTATTCATTTCATGCAAGTACACTCTGTTAAATAAAAAAGTAATTTAAATGAAGTTTAAATTTATTTATTTAGGTCTTCATAACAAAGAAAGCTCTATTAAATTGCTTTTTTAGTGTAGAAAATTGTAGCTTTGTAATTATTCATTGTCACAGGATAAGTTTCTTACAGTCTCTAAAGATACTACAGCTGATATTCTCTCCACTCCAATCTCAATCACAAGTAAGCAGTTCTCTGAATTTCATCACAAATCTACACGAGAGAGCTGACCTGATTAAACTGTATACACTAAATCTATGTCTTAGAAGATCTGTAAAGTGTTACCCAAAAGTGTCTGACTCAGTGGTTGCACACCCACTGAGCTTTCCAAAGCTAACTGAAGCTCTGATCTAACAACAGCCTCCAACAGCAATACCACCCAGGAAGACTGTAGGACAGGGTCAGCAGGTGGGTGGATTCAGTCGCAGACAGGATCCTTAAAACAAGTCATGTCTTTTGAAAAGGTTAATCTGGTCACCTTTCATTTTCACTAACTAATATATAGAGCAGCCTCACATGGTCACTTATTACTTATGATAGTTGCAAATGACCTAAACTAAACCCTCATTTCTGGCTCTGCTACAGAGTTGAAGTGAGAATTAAATTGTCAGTTTCAGACTGGAGAAACTGTGGTTTTCTGAGCTCACGGCTGTGCAGGAAGGATATGTTTTTTCTGTAAGTGTAGAGCTCAGCAGCAGCGTACCTTGAAGTTTTTCAAAGATTTTAGTACAACTTGTTACTATCTAACATGAGCTAAGTTTCTTATTAAGATTCTGATATGATTCTGGATATCTACTATATAATGACTCTCATATTGCCAGTCTATAATAATTTGAGAAGTACTACTCATGAGAAAAGAGTTTCAAAGAAATGGGGATGTGGAGTGGAATGAAACTTCTGAATCTCAGAGTTAAAGTTCAGTACAGTTGGCATCAGATTGTCAAGGATTCCTGGTGTAAAACTAGCAATTTTAGCTTTAGACAAAACTTTGGGTGTGCCGTACATTCTTCTGTAAGTGACATAGTCTCAGAAAATGTATTATCTGGTTTATCTTGATTGAGGCTAACTACCAATGATTTATTTATTTATTTTTAATTTGGACTTTCTATCTTTTAACTATCATCACTGTGCACCTGCACTTAAGCACCTCAAAACAAAAGTAATTGTGTCTGTTTAATTTAGCCACATAGCAGTGGTATTCATTGGGTTCATTAAGAGAGCTCACTGAATGCCAAGAAACTCAGGGCACTGATGCTCGATCAATCAAAACTTGCTTATACAACACCACTAGCTTGGTGCTAACAACACTGCAAATTTCAATAGGGATGCTAGGGAAAATTAGCATTATGCAAGTAGCTAATCAGACAATGCAGTGCTGTTTATGAAATTAATAAAATGGTTTCTGTATTAAAGATGGCTATGTAACGAAATACAACTGGCAGATCTTCATGATTTTACAACTGGAACTGGTTCATTGCATAAACAAAACTAATGAGTGGAATTTATATATATTCAAGCTGAGCTTGAGCAACTTTATGTTCCATGGAAACAAATTAATTCCTGGGGTGCTTTATCAGTACAACCACTTGAATTGTTTACATTATGCATATTCTATGTAATGACATTATTTACTGTCTCATTTTTCTTCATTTGGTTTTCCTTTTACTAACGTCATCATTTCGACACCACTTCCTTAGTTCTCACACAATGGCGATGGTAGCGCAGCTGATTTTTTTGCTCTTCAGTTTGGTCTCGATCACAGGTAAAAAAAAAAAATTACTGCTTATCACATCAAAGAGGTTCAACTGTATTATATCCAGTAATCATCTTCATCTGTAATGTAAAAATGGTTGATTGAAGAAATCATCATCTATTACTATGACTTAACCGTACTAAATGATAGGTCGTTTAGGTACACTCAAATTATAGACTATGAAATTAGTAGGACTTTTTATGGACAGATGGAACTTTTTGTTTTAGCATACAGTATTACAGTCAAAGAGTTTAACACAGTAGCTAAAGAATTTCTTTTTACATTAATTTCTGTAAACACTTGAAATGGAAAGCTTACTAAATGATCAAACTATGTACTATGTAAAATAAGGCATCTTAAGGAAATGTTGATGAAAATTGAAAATTGTTTTTAAATACTGGCTTACTTAAAATCTACAACTGCTTCTACAACATGAGGCATTTGGTTCGAGGGTTTCATCAGGAAATCACCCGGCATGTTTCCTGTACTCTTCTCAAACATATCTGGCACTGTGGGCTTGTTCGTCGTTGTGACTGTTTATTCTATAAGTTCTATGAAACAGAGGTCAGGAAACTGGGCAGATATTGTCCAGATATAGTGCACATATAGTAGTATTTATGCATACATGCATACATTTTTTTAACTTCAAAGAAAGCTTGCTGCATTACCTACCTCACACCGCCAATATGGAAAAAACATATATTCCAAATGTATTTATCATATATATATTCAAAATACATTTCATTTATTATATATATATATATATATTTTGCATAACCAAGTATGTATCAGTGGTGGACAGTAACTAAGTAAATGTGATTCGTTACTGTATTTAAGAAGTTTTGTGTATCTGTGGGCGACTTTTTACTTTCACTGCACTACATTTCAGAGTCAAATATCTTACGTTTTACTCCACTACATTATGAAATCGTCGTTCCTTTTGGCTTATGTGTGTATAAAACGTAACATTTTTACGTCAAAACAAAAGAAGCATGAAGCAAGCACACCAATCAGGGCACAGTGCACACTTTGTTTGTTGAGCTTGTTTTGACCTGTTGGACATATTGACCCAGTGCAAGCATACGGTTCTACAACGGTGTTGTAGGGCCACTGTTCATAAAAATAGTAGACTTCAAGAATAAAGTTGTAATATTTAGAGAAAAAAGTTGTAATATTTCGAGAATAAAGTCGTAATATTTTGAGAAAAAAGCTGTAATATTTCGATAATAAAGTCATAATATTTTGAGAGCAAAGTCGTAATATTTTGAGAATAATGTCATAATATTTCGTGAAAAAAAGTTGTAATATTTCAAGAAAAAATATTTGGAGGTTAAAGTGGGCTAACTGTAGGGGGGCTGCCATAACGCGTTGGCGTCTTGGATGCTGTACTGGTGCTGGAGTTCCACTTACTCCGGTCTGCTTGTGGATCAATCATTTTGATTATCATTCTCACTGTCTGTGAAATTTCATGCCCTCTTTGAATGGTGCGGAGATGTAGCCACTGATAGCCGTGTAGACGACCCTGCCTGCGATTCTCCTTCAGCAAACTAGACAGTTTCCTCCGAGTCCGTCTGGCTCTTTATTCTAGATAAACACAGTTTCCTGCTCAGCCGTTTCTTATACTAATAACAGGCTGGTGCTGATGTGTCAGGAGAGACAGGGAGACTGAGTATTTATTTATGGGTGAATTGATATGGAAGTATAACTCCACCACCTCCTCAATGTCCCTCACTTTAACACAAAGAGGTGCTGCCTTCCCTTTACAAAGCCTTTGGTCACAATATTGCAGCCTTTCCTGGTATTAATGCCACTTTAATGTCTTAATTCTACGACTCTTTTTCTCGAAAAATTACGACTTTTTTCTTGAAGTCTACTGTTATTAACAGTGGCCCTAAAATGGCCTTGTATGATTCACCATCAGTGCAGCAGCAAAATTTGGGATGCCTATTCCAACATAAATGATGGAACTAACCTAACTTTGTGTAAATAGACCAAAATACAGAAATACGTACACATATGCAGCTGTGACTGGCATCTTTCTTTTTTCAGAATTTATAAAACACTTTTTCATTTTGTAGTAAATTTGTTTTGGCTAGTTTATGTTTATGAACAGAGACCTACAGATGCAATATAGTAAAGGAAAACTCATTTGTGAACCTGAGTTTAAAACAAGTTTTTATTAAACTTAAACTTGTAACTAAGTTGCAAATAAATCTTAAACTGAAACTTTGCTTGTTTGTAAAAAGTTATTTCAGAGCCACTCAGTTCTACCTAATAGAAATGATTTACCTTCAGTGTTTTGTTCTTATGATAACTTTAATAGACATCTGCATCAGACTAATTAATGACATTATATTAAAAGACTGGTGTATCAAAAGTGGCACTAGAGTATTCTCACCTAAAATGAGTTAATGAAGCAAGAGTCTTCTTACAAAAATGGTAATAGGACATTAAAGTCATAATTAATCTTTTACAACCTCAATTCCAAAAAAGTTGGGACGCTGTGTAAAATGTAAATAAATGTAAATAAAAATAGAATGCAGTGATTTGCAAATCTCATACACCCATATTTTATTCATAATAGAACATAGAACACATATCACATGTTGAAAGTGAGACATTTTTGCATTTCATGAAAAATATCAACTCATTTAGAATTTGATGGCAGCAACGCATCTCAAAAAAGTTGGGAAAGGGCCATGTTTACCATTGTGTACCATCCCCTCTTCTGTAAACAACAGTCTGTAAACGTCTGGGAAGTGAGGAGATCAATTGCTGGAGTTTTGGGAGAAGAATGTTGTCCCATTCTTGTCTGATGTAGGATTCTAGCTGCTCAACAGCAGGCAGGCCAGTTCAGCACTCAGACTCTTCTTCTGTGAAGCCATGCTGTTGTGATGGATGCAGTGTGTGGTTTAGCATATGTTGTCAAAGCCTGTGTATTTCATTCAGCATTAATGGTGCCTTTACAGATGTGCAAGAAACCCATGTGCACTAATGCACCCCTATACCATCATGGGTGCTGGTTGTTGAACTGTGTGCTGATAACAAGCTGAGGTGTCTTTAGCCTGGAGGACACAATGTCCATGATTTCCAAGAAGAATTACAAATTTTGATTCATCAGAACACAGGATACTTTTCCGCTTCCACTCAGTCCATTTTAAATGAGCTTTGGCCCAGAGAGGACCGGGGCATTTCTGGATTGTGTTGACATATGGCATCTTCTTTGCATGATACAGTTTTAATTTGCATTTGTGGATTGTACAGCGAACTGTGTTCACAGACAATGATTTCTGGAAGTGTTCCTGAGCCCATGCAGTGATTTCCTCTACAGAATCATGTCTGTTTTTAATGCAGTGCTGCCTGAGGGCCCAAAGATCACAGCCAGCCATAATTAGTTTTAGGCTTTGTCTCTTGCATACAGAGATTTCTCCAGATTCTCTGAAACTTTTAATGTCATTATGTTCCATAGATGATGAAAAGCAAAAGTTCTTTTCTATTTTATGTTGAGAAACATTATTCTTGAATTGTTTCATTTTTTGTCGTGCAGTCTTTCACAAAGTGGCGAATCCCTCCTCATCTTTACTTCCGAAAGTCTCAGCCTCTCTGAGATGCTCTTTTTATACCCAGTCATGTTACTGACCTGTTGCTGATTAACCACCAGGTGTGTTTTTAGCATTACACATTTCCAGCCTTTTGTTGCCCCCATTGCAACGTTTTTTAGATGCGTTGCTGGCATCTAAATGAGTTCTAAATGAGTTAATGCTTTTCATGAAATGGTAAAATGTCTCCCTTTGAACATCTGATATGTGTTCTATTGTGAATAAAATATGGTTCTATAAGATAAATATGGTTCTATATGCAAATCATTGCATTCTGTTTTTATTTACATTTATTTACATTTTACACAGCGTTCCAACTTTTTTAGAATTGGGATTGTAGTATTTTACTTTCGATACTTAAGTACATTTGCAGGCAAATACTTTTGTACTTTTACTCAAGCGGAGGTCTAAAGGGAGGAGCTTCTACTTTTACTGGAGTAATATTTTACCTTGGGTATCTACTTTAACTCAAGTACATGATTTGTGTACTTTGTCCACCACTGGTACGTATGCAATAAGACACAGAGTATCAATACCTACAACACTTGCTTTTGGCATATTAAAGGTTCATTTGTTAATTTTGCTAATTTTTTTTTTAATGTGTGGCTGTAGTAGGATGTCAGGGTTACAGCTCAGTGTCATGCTTCCTGCTGATACACTATTGTCAAGTCCATGAACTGCATCTCCCAGCATCCCACAGGAGATTACATGATGCCCACACTACTGCCTCCACCGATCACAACCCACTTTCTTGCTCCAAGTCAGCAGATTACTAACTGAAATCAGCAACAGGTGTAAACAGTCACCTGGGTACTGTTTACACTGTTTACACCTGTTCCTCATTTCATGTCTCTGTATAAATACCTGTTTATCACACTTTGTCTTTGTGAAGTCCTGGCACTGTTTACAGAGCAAGCCTTGCAAAAACGCAGAAAAGACTTGTTAGCAGCCATACAATATGTTTTGAATGTAGACTGGGTTTGAGAGGTAAATTCAAAATCTTATCGAAGTAGTCGGCAGCACCCACTTGGTGAAAGCCTGCTCTAGGGGGCACGATATAAGGGAGACTGTAGGGCACTGCATCTCATTTACTTCACTATGATTGTTTTTTCATTCCAGTGCAAAAACATTTTTTTTTTGCACTTGGAAGAGCATCTAAGAGGGCATGTCATGAGTGTTTTTTCTTCAGAAAGACACCTGTAGGAGTTGTTTTGCTAGTTGTGGCATCTACAGATCCTTTCCCTTTAGTTTTGGTTTGCCTGTTATTTTTAAATGTTATTCGTACCCCAAAGCTATGATTGAAACTTAAGCCTTTTTACAAATCTTGTTATTCCAACCGTGATGCTGCTTTGCATTGTGGTTAACTAGTTCTTTATGACAACAGTTTTACATGGAAACAGACATTGGATC